TACTCTGAAAATACTTTTTAAGTACCATGGTTTGCCAGATTCATAGCCTTTACACACATAGATACAAATGTTTATACTGTGATTTTTAAATTGAAGTTGTCTATAAATATGACATAAAATTCTTTGCCATTAAAGGGACTTATTACTGATAATATGGTTGTGTTATTAATGTAATTTTAGTTTTATTTACCATGTAACATGTGTTGTTTGTCATCATTTCATACACTAAATTAATATCCATAACAAATTATTTTTCATTCCAAAATTTCATTTGTGAGCATTTTACAGGAATACTAGAATACAACCGCAGATATTTATTTACATTCATTGGCAGAAAGTCCTATATGTTCGTATCTTTCTAGACTTTGGTATTGTTTGTTTATGCATCGGTTTTCCAGATCTGTTGTTTCCTTGTCTATCAGGCAGAAGCACTCTGACTTTAATTTTTTTTTAAACACTGATCCAATCTCATGGATGACTGTAGCCAATCAGAAGCTTTTGATGCCATTTAGTAGGAACATCAGTCAAAAGACATCTGAACCTTTGTCATTTAGTTGGTGGCTTGATCGTTTGTCTACTTCTAGATTTAGGTCTTGGCTAGAACATGAAAGTCTTGTCATTGAATACCATGCTCTTTGAAATGCCGGTGGAAGGAGTAACAAGTGTGATTTACTTCCTACAGTAACCAACTATATGTGCAAGACAACAGACCAGCTAGAACCCCCACACCCCAGATCGTACATTGTCATTTCACTGTGTTAGCTAGACCAGCGGTTCCCAACCTGTGCTCTGAAACTCTGCCTGCACTTCCCAGGAAAAATAGTGCTTGTTCTTCTGCAACAATCTGAATCCTTGAGGTGCATTGTTGCAGATATCATCTACTTCCATTTTTCTCTGTGATTAGTTCTCGAGGGAGCAGCTGGCTGAGTGGTTAAAACACTAGGCTCTTAAGTGAGAAACCCGGGTTTGAATCCTCTGTAAAATTGGGATTTCTTCTGTCAGGGGCAAAATAAAATTATCACCAGCACAGTCATGGCAACAGCACTAGCCACGTGGCCATAAATCCTCAGGCTCAAAGACCCCCTCTCCTGCCTACACCAGAAAAGTTGTACAATAAAGGCAGTAATTGGCAGACTAGTCCTCTCCTTCCAGTTGGTGACTCCAGGTGTTTGTAGATCTGCCCACATATTATTTCTCCATCTTAGAGCAGCAACTCAGCAAGTTAAAAAAAAAAAAAAGCCTCCTTCAGTTACTTGAGATGTGATAGGCACATTTTTTTTAAAATAGACTGATACTTAAACTGGTTGTGTAGCCAAAATCATGCAGGTTACCTTTACTTCTCTAAAACATTGTAACTGACTCACAGAGCATGTTGAGAAAGGTGAAGACAGGCATGCTCCGTGCAGAGTGGCAAGCATAACTTTAAAGGTCCCGGGTAGTTAGCATCCTTTGGATATTTTCTCCAGGCTCTGCGGGTGTGTTGGGAAATGATCAGAAAGATAGACTGGCCGATTCTACACCACTTGGTGGGGAACTGATGTATGACAAGCTAGATGTTGTGAGGGCCCTTTGGAATTTTAACTCTTCGCTTGCTGCTGAAGATGGGGACAGAGCGCTTATGGGAGTGTCCTGAGTGCTGTGATGTCGATTCTTAATTTAACATTCAACTTCTAAAAAAAAAAAATAATAAAAAAATTCTGTTAAAATGTTTAGGTTGAGTTAATCTGAAAGTCCAAGGAGATTAAGAAAAAAAATGCCACAACTCGAGGAAAGTATCCGCTAACAAACAATTCCTGAGATGGTACACGGGTGTCCTAGTCATTATGCTAAAATGACTCCTAGACAACCTAAAAGTATGAGTTTAATAACAAACATTGCGAGATCAAAAAAGATCTTATGTTCTACTTGCATTCCGATTTTTTAACTTACCAATAAATTCAGACTGCTTGAACAGTGAACAGTGCTTGATTCAGTGAAGAAAATGCTTCTTAAATCTGAAACAAAATGGTTCTGCTGCTGGTTCAATAGTGGACAGATGAGATAACACAGTTGTAATACTTATATTTAAATAATACTTATATTTAAACATGCAGCTGGGTATGTTTATATTTAAACATGAAGTGGGGCTCAACTCTTTCTATCCAAAGCAATGCACCATGTGTGATAGGCTATTCTTTCCCTGCACCAATCAATACGTAATTTGTACGGTTGTCCTAATAAATTTATGAATATTAATCAAGGTCGTGCACATACACGTACACCCCTCTTCTCCCACCCCAATTATTTTGTTTCCAATGAAAGACAATAATATACCAAAGAACTAAAAGCAACTTTATTATCTGCCATTAACCTTTTCCAGTATCATCCTAAACGGTGGCCTGTGAAATAAAAAATTCAAATGCCATAAACTGCTCTCTTTTTAACTTCTTCTTCTCTTCCACGTTGTACCTCAGCTAAGTGTCGGGGGGTGGGGGAGAGAACATACATAATCTTTCAGATCCTGGTGATCATTGCTGAAGCTATGGAGTTTGTGCATTGTGAGACAATCTCAGCAGGTTGCAAGCCATTATGCAGAGACAGTTAAGTCATAAAAGATAAAACACTAGGGTAATGTATCTCTTTTTAACACACCTCAAAATTCTTGATTGGCGTTCTTCTCTAATTCAGTTAATGCTTTTTCATTGTGTGGGCTCAGAGGCCCAGTTGGGGGAGGGGGGGGGGGGATAGATCCACAGCCCATCCGAAAAGCAGGTCATAAAAATTAGAGGTTTTTTCTTCAAAGTTAGAATGCATTTGCCTGAGAGGCAGGGAAATAACAGTTAGGGTAAGAAATAAGTCAGATCTGTAAAACAGATGTGCACACAAATTTCCAAGTTCTGCAGGAAATAGGACTAAACTCCAAAAGTGGAGAAACAACCAGGACTTTCCGTCGCAGGTTACAGCCACTGAACTGTTAAGAAGAATTAATGCTTCTCATGTTTCTTGATAAGACTTGTTAACAGCAGAAAATCATGCATTTTCTGCCCAGGATATTCAGGTGTGCTGTGTAATGAGTAGGCCGATAGATTAGCTGCTGCTGCTCCTTTAGAAACTTTATCATAAAGTGGATGGGATTATGTAAACAGTTCAGTGGCACAGAATATCTATACTTCAAATCACACTGATTCAGTGGGAAGTAAGCAGAGCGTCTTACAACCGCTTTCAACACACAGGGAAAAGGACTGGCAAACTGTTTATCATGTGGCAACTGGCATCATCCTGTATGGGAACTTGCTACTGAGGAAGAAGTCACAGAATACCTGTAGGAATACCCCAAGTGCAGAGATGTCAATTCTTGACTAATTCACTCTTGAAGAACTGCCTTGCTCATTTTACAGCAAAATATAAACAAGTCTGAGGTGAGCTGAGTCAAGAATTGACATCACAGTACTCGGGGCATTCCCCTGTGCACTCCGTCCTCATCTTCAGCAGCTAGCTGATGGTGCTGGACACAATCTGGTTATATCTCCATCTTGCCTTTTCTTCGAGTGTAGTGAGCCTGCCAGACCCTCTGGTTACACCCAGGTGCCTTATTCTCCCCATACTATAATAATCTTGTTTCTCTACTGATTCAATTGCTTGTTCCCAAAGGGCCTCGACCACATCTGCCTTGTCATTATCAATTCCCCACCCAGTGGTGCAATCTGTCTGCCTGTTCATTACCGATTATGCTGGCATGGCCTGCAGAAAAGATCCAAACAAGTCTGTTGCATTCCTAACAAGAACTCATTATTACAAATTTTAAAATTTAGTACACCTAATATTATCCTATGTAAAAAAAAAACAACAGTATTTTATAAAACAAGAATCAGATTTCTCATCAATGTAACATTTTAATGTAAGAAAAACATAAACATTACATACAATCACAGGAACCTGTCATCAGATTTATGCTGTAACATACATATATTCATCAGATTTATGCTGTAAGATACATAAATTCATTTGAATAAAGTTACATTCATCCAGAAATAATAATAATCATTTACACTTGAAATGATGCAGAAACAACAGGAATTTGTTTGTAATGCCATGTTCTTAATGGAGGTCAGCTGCCATAAATATATGCATCCAATGCTGTCTTTGGGAATATTATGTGATGGGGTCACAATTTCTTTTATGCTGTGACCTTTGTACCACTGCCGTTAACTCTTTCAGTGTCAAAGGCATCACAGATTAATGAGTACTCTATATGTGGAAAACATATCTCGCTATCTATCTGTTACATCAACCTATGCTGTCACACTTGTTACATTAACTCATTCTGTCCCACAGTTGTAATATTCACATTCTTAGGACCAAGGATGTTACTTTAAAAAAATAGTAACAACACACCCTTTGGGATGGGATATTTTTTTAAAGTATCTGTCTGGTACTGAAAGAGATAAAGCTACGAGAAAAGTCTTCTACTAAACCGCTCACCATGAAAAGTGAATGCTAGAGAATTGTGAAAAACTTTCACTGACATTTATGCCACAGAGCCGCATTATGGTTAAAAGTGTCTGAAAAGAAGACAGTACCTGGCAATAAGTTGAGCACAGGTAACAAGGTCTTTGATTCAAAACTGTCAAAACTAGTGTCCATGTTTTATTCTCTATCTGACAGACCATTCATTTATACTTTAAAATAAAAAAGTTATCAAATAAGATATACTGCAAAGGGTTAATATCTACACTTACTCAGACAGAAAGAACATGCAATTTTGTACTGTAAGGGTTAATATCTAAACATACTCAAGACAGAAAAAGCATGTAACCCTGCACTGTAAAGAGAAATCTACTCATATAGAAAGAGCATGTAAGTGTAGACTGTAGAGGTTATTATCTATACTCACATAGTGGGCCACAAATTCAATTTATCAAATACCAATTTTACAACAGTATAATATGCTTCTCACCTAAAGCAAACACATCTCTCTAAATCATACACACACATTCATACAACCAAACGAAAAGACAAATCTATCTCTGCTTATTCTGCGCCGCCTCTTTCCGTGTGGCATCCTGGAGCAACTGTGTATCACATTCATCAGCTGGTAACTGGACATAACGAACCACTGACCCTCGGATGAAGCAGGTCTTTACTGACAACTGGAAGTAGAAAGACAACATCATAAGCTCAGTTTAGATTCTCTTCAGTAAGTTCAATTTTTAAGATTCCGGTGATCATAGCTGAAGCTTTGAAGTTTGTGCTTTGTGAGACAATCTTAGCAGGTGGCAAGCCATTATGAGAGACTGAGAGTCATACAGGATAAACACTGTTGTAATGACGTCGATTCTATCGACTTTAAACTTTTAAAAACCTTTTAGTAAAGTAAATCCCAGAGCCACTGTGGTGTAGTGGCAAGCACCCTTACCCAACAGCCAATGTTCATGTCCCCACTAGAGCAGATTTTTAACGGTGTAGGGAATAGGGCCTCCATGTCAACAGTTATAGCCTGCCTTTAAGTTAAAGATCAGGGTCACAACAAGTTAGGCAGAAAGTCCATACAAGGGCCAACTATTTTCAGTTCCACCCATTTCAGGCCGGATCAACCCAGGAGCAAAGGTCAAACTATTAGAAACCAGCTTTAGCGTGGATTTGGACCCAAGACCTGAGCTGCCAGGTAAGAGTGTAGACACTGCCCGCTGTATCGTCATCATCATTATCCTGCTACACAATTATATGTTACATCGGGCTCACAGTCTATTCCTTTATTCCAGTCGATCCTTCTGATTTTCCTCTCCTGCAGGTTTTGTAGCAACAAATACAAATGTGTACAGGGAGGGCCTAGTCCCAATCTACGTCCATTTCTCATCCAATCTTAGGACTGGCAATAGCCTGCCTTATACATCATTTTAAAAATCAGGACTAAACATGTCACCTCCTCATTGCATTATATGAATTATGTTAGCTGACTTTTTTTCCCATCCTTAATTTAAAAGTGAGAATAGATCAACTAGACATACAATAATGGACAGCAAATAAGTTATTATTTACGACTAGGCTGGGACAGCTGTAAAGGTGTAGTGCTTACCATATGAGGGTACTTCTCTGGATCGGTCACACTGATGTCTGTTAGTTTTATATTCAGAAACTGATCAACAGAATGCAATGTTCCACAAATGCTGTAAGAATGAAATAAAAAAAAAAATAAAAAGCTACGCTATATGAACAAGGATCACACATCCTACCCTCATTTGAAGAAAGCCAGGATGAGTGCAACTGGTCTATTACTGATTTAAGAAGCGACATAGCACACCGGGCACACCCACAGGTGCTCTGATTCCTGTAGCAAATATTTTTAAATTGTAAATGCTAACTGTTTCTCTCATATGTCCTGTCTTGCCGGACCCACTCTTGAATATATGTTCAAACACATGTAATTTAATCTAAGCTCGTGTCTTCTATCAGTATTCGTTCATAAATGGTCTTCACAATGACTCCGTTGTCCAGCACAGGTGTTCCTGTAGCTTTGCTTTTGTTGCAGAAAAAGCAGCTCTTTCATTTCCTCACACTCCTGCAAATCCCAGAAAGTACATCCACCAGAGTCCCTGAAATGTTAGCATGCTGATGTCTGATATCCTGCAAACAGTCTAAAAATATGGATCTAGCATTTACCCAACAGTGTCAAAAAGACCCTTTAATTTTATATTTATAAACTGACAATGTGTCTTCTTCTTCTTCATCGCGTTCACCGGCTGAAAACTCCCGCGGAAAGTTTTGGCTGTTTGTCCACTTCTGGACTGCAGTCCGGTTTCAGAACCCGAGTGTTGGGTGTGCATCGGTTAGACAGATCTGACTTCATTTGTTTGTAGACTGCTGGTTCCTTGCCTCTCAGGCAGTTGCACTTCGACTTCGAAGGAAGCTCCCAATTAGTCAACTCTTACTACATGCTTTTGGGTAGGCAGCGGGTCTATTCTTGTTTTCCCTATAATAGGGCCCCGGAACCCACCCGGGGATGAAAATGTGTGACTTGAATGTGGTTGGAAAATAACAAAGTATAGTAAATAATGACATGAATAACCTACCAGAGGTCATTCTTCAGTTCGACCACAACCTCCTTGCCAACCAAGGACTTGAAGAAGGAATAAAATAACTGAAAAGAACAAGAGAAAATATGTACAATATACGTGCTGCTGCACCTGCTGTTATGTTTCTTTCTATAAAAAAAAAAAAGTAAGTAAAGGTCCCTTTTCCACGCCTTTAGGGCTAGACTTACATTTTTATAGACCAATCGGCACAAGATGGGTGGTATGGTCAGTATCTGAGTATCATGCTGGCTGCCTTTACTTTCCAGGACTGCACCCGGTATCCACTCAAGGCTGGGTCAACCCTGAGAGTCAATGTCATTTTTTTTTTTTAATTTCAGCTCTGCCAGGGAGCGAACCCACAACCTTCCGATCCAAAACGCAAGGGTCTAGCTGCTACGCTTACGGCAACTCCCGTTTATTTCTACAGTCCAGTATTATACGCTAACTGAATAAAATGGTGTTGCAGGGTATGCCATTGTTTTTTTAAGAATGCTGTGTATACCCTATAATTCTAATGTAGATGTACTGGCTATGAATGCACACAGGGCTAGAAAACTGGACAGGGAAAGAAACTTTCAGATGATCTGTGAAGACGGTGAGGTTTTGTAAAGATCCTGTTGATCGACTGATGTATAACCTATTCAGCTGTTGATCGACTGATGTATAACCTATTCAGCTGTTGATCGATTGATGTATAACCTATTCAGCTGTTGATCGACTGATGTATAACCTATTCAGCTGTTGATCGACTGATGTATAACCTATTCAGCTGTTGATCGACTGATGTATAACCTATTCAGCTGTTGATCGACTGATGTATAACCTATTCAGCTGTTGATCGACTGATGTATAACCTATTCAGCTGTTGATCGACTGATGTATAACCTACTCATCGGTACTTTTAACCCATTTATCCTAAATGTTAATAATTTAAATCCTTTTGTCCCGCTTCAGACATTATAGGAGTTGAAGTAAAAAAATGTCTGGGACTCACTGACAGTTGGAAGAAAAGAAAGAGCCAGCAGGTCCTGATCACATAAATATGCAATTAATGAACTTCATAATATCGACCGATTTTTATTTTGTAAGAAATAGAGATTTGTTTAAGCCCTTGTGATGTCCTGGCTGGATCTGATCCACCAAGGTATTTTAATGGTAAGTTCAGGCATTTTGGAAACTGTATAAAGCTGCCATTGTTTGGCGATGATTTGGCAGTCAGTCCCGTCTTTTTGATGTGGTACCATCAAGTAGCTTAAAGTTTTTTTTTTTGGTTAGCAGTCCAGATTGAGTACTAGTAATTTATCGGATCGTTATCCTGTCTATGAATCTGCTGAGTATTGTTTGCAAAAGTTTGGACAGGCAGTTTTCATTAGCCTCATTAGGGACAGAGGCTAGATCTATGATAAGCAAAGCTTGGCTTCTTATTATAAGATGCATATACTATATGGTGCTTAAACTTCAACAGTATATTATATAAGATGCATATACTATATAGTGCTTCAACTTCAACAGTATATTATAAGATGCATATCATATACTATGCTTCAACTTCAACAGATAAGTTGCATATACTTATATACTATATGGTGCTTCAACTTCAACAATATATAAGATGCATATACTATATGGTGCTTCAACTTCAACAGTAAACACCTAATATTTCCAAAAATGAAAAGTGATGATAAATAAAGAGAGAGATGAGAGATAACTAATTAATAATTATATTTAGTTTATGAGAGTGCTGAATGTGTTGTCGGCTTCGACTTCGAGCAAGATGAGAGGCCTGTTTCAACAGCAAGATACAATTTGCCCGTCCTTGTATGGCGAAAGAATGCCATAACTGTACCATGCCTACGTAAAATTAAAGAGTAAGTTTCTAAATCCTTCCAAACGTAAGTTTAACAAAAAGTTACAATATCACTCTGCCTACCATTTTCGAAATCTCAGCGTTTACGGAAATGGAAATCGGTTTCCGGTTATAGTTGCCAGGTAAGCGTCAACAACACACACAAGTCGCCACTGTGTCGCAAACAGTACGAGAAAATATAACAAACTCAACGTCAGTATGTTGCTGTTCGATAGTTTAACAAAAATGGAATCAGACAAATAAATCGCTTGAAAATTTAGATGTAAGATAAATTAAACATACTTGAAGAGAGATCACAAAAAACAGGTCTAATAACCCACTGGAGAAAGAGAGATAATAAGAATAAAATAGGCTTTGGATAATATCCACTCCTGATATGAAAAGTTACATTCATGTTTGGAGGGGGCTGCGTGGTCTCGGGGCATGGTGCACATTGGCAGTTGGAAATCGAAAAGAGTAGCCAGCGGCGCTGCCCGGGTAAAATTTTGAGTTAAAAATCTACCCAAAGTATTTCATGATCCTCTGCGGTGCTACAGAGCCTGTGTACTGTGATGAGATCTTCGAACTCAGAATGAGTCACTGAATGGAAGCACACGCGGGTGTATTTTTGTGTTTCAGAGCAGGCAAGCGCTAAAACCACAAACTGCATCACTCCATCGTCATGCTGCTGGTTGTCATGGAGTAAGGCGCCCGTTGGCCTTTTTGACTGTTCTGCCCGCTGAGCGTACTGTAAAATGCCCATGCGCTTCTTCTTTGGCGTATAACGGATCCGTCTGTATAGATTATTGCATCTGCTTCGTCTGAAGGGGTTTCACGATGGAGGAGAGCGTTGACCTCTGCATTAACAGCAAACAGGATTCTCTTTATACATCGCAAGCTTGTTGAGTGGTGACAATACAGGAAATGTACAAATAAACCGCCTGAGGCACAGGTATCCATTCTGCACCAGGTATGAGACGGTCGGTTAGGCTGCATATTTGACCTAATAACATCTTCTGCCCGACCTAGCACGATTTCCGCCCCTCTTCAGTCTGTCGCCCTTTTCACTAAAAAGCGCTTGATGCAGTGGGTGTTTCTTATCAGCACATATTTTGAGATATGCCCGAGCCCTCCACATCCTGATCCTTTGGTTCATTGTTGGAAAGTAACTAACTAACTAACTAACTAATTTTTTAGGCAGTGGCTGTGTCTTATTGCCTGCAATCTTGTCCAATGACAGTCCAATGTAAACAAAGCCAAAACGATAATCGGATAAGTGCGCAGTTTGGTTGCGCAGAGAAAACTTTTTGTTTCTGGGTCAACTTTCAAGTTTTAGTTTTAGCAGCTGCTTTCTACATCTCATCTCCACAAAAACCTACATATCTCAGCTCAGAAATGACATACAAGCCTAAATGAGGTACCGTTGGAAAGAGTTACAGCTATCTAACTGTGTTGGTTTTATTCGCGTAGAGAGGATTTTAAATTTGACTAAAGTACCTACATTAGGGACATAGGCTAGATCTATGATAATTTAGTTTATGAGAGGGTTGAATGAAAGTTTCATTCAGCCCTCTCATAAACTAAATTATCGTAGATCTAGCCTATGTCCCTAATGTAGGTACTTTAGTCAAATTTTTAAAATACTCTCTACGCTGTTGTGTGTCGGCTTCGACTTCGAGCAAGATGAGAGGCCTGTTTCAACAGCAAGATAAAATTTGCCCGTCCTTGTATGGCGAAAGAATGCCATAACTGTACCATGCCTACGTAAAATTAAAGAGTAAGTTTCTAAATCTTTCCAAACGTAAGTTTAACAAACAGTTACAATATCACTCCGCCTACCATTTTCGAAATCTCAGCGTTTACGGAAATGGAAATCGGTTTCCGGTTATAGTTGCCAGGTAAGCGTCAACAACGCACACAAGTCGCCACTGTGTCGCAAACAGTACGAGAAAATATAACAAACTCAACGTCAGTATGTTGCTGTTCGATAGTTTAAAAAAAAAATTGAATCAGACAAATTTATTGCTTGAAAATTTAGATGTAAGATAAATTAAACATACTTGAAGAGAGATCACAAAAAACAGGTCTAATAACCCACTGGAGAAAGAGAGATAATAAGAATAAAATAGGCTTTGGATAATATCCACTCCTGATATGAGAAGTTACATTCATGATTGGAGGGGGCTGCGTGGTCTCGGGGCATGGTGCACATTGGCAGTTGGAAATCGAAAAGAGTAGCCAGCGGCGCTGCCCGGGTAAAATTTTGAGTTAAAAATCTACCCAAAGTATTTCATGATCCTCTGCGGTGCTACAGAGCCTGTGTACTGTGATGAGATTCTTCGAACTCAGAATGAGTGCTCTGAATGGAGCCCTTATGGGTACCAATTGTGCCATGATTTAGATCAGTTGTTCAAACCTGAAACCTTCAAACCTCATACATATTTGGGCAGTAATATAGATAAAGGTATACAAATAAGGAGTTTAAAAAATTAAAAGAGTTTTTGTATAACTTTGAAATATGAGGGAGTCAAATGAAATTTAAACTTGTCTAAATGCAAAATATTTAACACTAGTATAAATAATGCAGAAACTGGCCTCAAGAAAAAAGTGTGCAGAGCAAGACATTAAACGGTCACGCTAATTCATAGAGGCAGCCCAGATGACGTCTGGCCAGAGCATACGAAACCGAACGCAAAAGAAAAAGAAATCAGTACTACTATACGGAGCTGAAACACGGAGAGCAACTAAAGCAACTGCTAATATACTATACATATTCATTATCTGGTGCCTACTCAGAATAGAGGAAATCAAACGGTATGATAGAATCCTAAATATGGGGCTATAGGAAATAGCTAAATAGATTTAAGGGAATCAACGCTGGCGTTGGATAGGACACACGATGAGAAAGTATAAAAACAAAATCACTCATTAAGTCATAGAAATAAAGGCAGATCACACACACACACACACACACACACTGAGAAGCGAACTAGAGAGTGAAGTTAAAAAGACGGGAAGCGTGGGGTGAACTGTATGAGAAAGCAAAAGGAATGGCGGCTTAGTCGGAGTTGTTTGAACTCCTATGCTCCACTAAGGAATAAACAGTAAAAAAATAAATTTTGGTAATTAAAAAAAATTTATTTTGGTTTTGAAACAGCAGTACGAGAGTAGTACCGTGGAAGAGACTAGGGCTTCACCGCTTTATAGTTCCTTAGTCATTAGTGGCTGCATCGTAGCCAATCTTCACTGTGAGAGACGGCACATTTTTTATTATTTTTGCTCAGAGTAAGCAATGCGATCAGAAGATGGTTTAAATGATTCGTTTTTTTTTTTGTTAAAATGGAATGAAACAGGTATGTATTTTATCCTTTGTTAGTCAAATAACTATTGATCGGAGGAAATGGGGGAAACCCATTTTGGAGAATCTAGATTTTACAGACAACATTGTTCTGTTGAGTAAGAACAACAACCACGTGTTGTATATATAACGAAAGTCACCACATCTCGCCGGGCGCGAGATTTCGTATCGGCCTCCAATCATGCCGTGGCTGTTTCCAGCGGCTGTCCTTTGTTCTAGGGGTGTTAGCATATGCTTTCCTTCCCCTTCGACGTCTATACATACCGTGCGGA